TAGATAGATAGATAGATAGATAGATAGATAGATAGATAGATAGATAGATAGATAGATAGATAGATAGATAGATAGACAGACAGATGATAGATAAAATAAATATTGATTAAAAATTTAGGTAGAAGGAGCTGTCTTTTAGAGAATGATGCTCTATCAGGATCATGTAAAATATTCATAAACCATGTGTCAATTTCCAAATTGAATTTTTTTTCTTCATATTCAATTTATTATATGTTCAGCTACCACACAATTCAGTCTGAATGTCTAAATAACTAATAACTGGGATAATATCAAATAAATATAGACGTTCAAAAAAAGTAAAACACATCTTTCCCTATAATCTTTATCTCAATTCAGGAAGAAGGCATGACAGAATAGAAATTCCTTATCACGCTGTAGTTGATAAAGCAATCCCCAAATTTGTGGTTTATTGGTAAATATTTCTTGGCTAAAGACAAACTCAAACTCATGCGATTATATGGGAATAGGTGGTAGAGTCCTTTTCACAGAGGTATCGATTACCCAGCCCAGAGCAGATTTATGCATGGCTGTTTCATACATTTTGTCACCCTCCTTTCATCTAAATGGGAATTAATTAGTTCAGACTTTAACTCCAGCTCAAATCAATAGAGAATCTTTAGCCCCAAAAAGTGATCACGCTTGCAAGCAAGAGGGAAAGATTAACTCAGGCAAAGATTAAAGTTCAAAAAATTTACAAGTTTATTTCATAAACATGGAGCATAAGGCATGCAATAAGTTTAGATAGGCATTCAGCTGAACAATAATATTGTATCTCCTGATGTTGTATCAGGTAATCCTACTAACTTCTGCCTGACTGGAAAACTTTGAAAAATCCAAGTTGCACTAGAGGCCAAGTGATTCTCTTACTAAGCCACCTGTTCTGACCTAGGCTTCCCACAACAGCACAAAGCTGAGACCTCATCCCGATAAACCCCTTTTATTTGATCTGCAATGAATTTCCTGTCCAACGAAGTCCCAGCCAACAGTCTTTCATTATAGTTCCCAATTACAAACCTTTATCAGGCTTGGAGAAGAACCAGGTCTATAACTTTCAGATGCCACAATACTTGGCAAGCATGCTGGAGTGAACTAATTGTTTCCTGCAAAGCCCCACTCCCCTTTCACTCCTCTTTTATACTCTAGGGGAAGGGCCATTCACCATCCACCTGTGGCTTTACTCCCAAGTCAACCCTTGTTCCTCAGCTGTTCCTTTCATCTGGCAACTCTGCACACTGGGAACAGGCTCTAGCTGTTCTTCTGCCTCACTGATGTCTGACTCCAAAGGCAGCTGATAACTGTCTGATGACTGTGGGTCCCATCTCTGCCTCTGACGCAGAGCATTTGTCAGAGCCTCCCCCAGACTCCACAACTGGCCCCTGTTCCTCCCCAACTTCCTCACTGTCTGAGTCTGTGGCCAGCTCTGCTAGCCGCTGTCGGGCCACAGCAACCCCAATCTATAGTGTAGTTGTCCCAATGTTCTTTCATGCCACTATCTGATTATCAACTTCACAAACTATGAATCCAATAAATATGTTAGCCTTTTCACAATAGTGATAGATATCATTGTAAACTAATAGACTTTGTACAATAATAATGCATAATTTGAAACAGTATATTCTGGCACAATATGGAACCAAACAGTTGATGTACTTAGCTGGTAATTAATCATTTAACTGATTGGGATCCAATATCTCTGAAATAAGTATTTCTTGCATTTTTGTTTAGCTAAATGTGAGATTTTCAGTATTTGGAAATATGATACATCATGTGGAACTAAATAGGTGTAAATATCTAAGTTGGAGCTTGAGACAGATGATCTTCACACATTTCTAGTTTAACATGAATGGAGGAGAGAGCTATTTGTAAAAAAGTTTGGGTTTTATGAACATCTTTGTGATCTCTTCCGAGATGTCATTCAAAGTTCTTCTACTTCAAAATGTACCTTTAAATTATCTGTTCACATAAGTCCTATTTATATTTCTAAATTCAATTAGCATCTCCAAAAGTATTCTAAATGCCCTCTTAGGTACATCAATAAATTGATAACCTAATGCTTTGCTACCATTTGTCATTATGAATTAAAGTATTTGTGGATCACTGTGAAAAAAACTAATATATAAATATGCAAATATAGTCAAGATTTTGGAGTCAGGTTTTCTAAAATAAATATTTCCTTTCAAATGATTGATATATTCAAACTAGGCATTTTATAAATGATTCAGAAAATGTATTTATAAAACATTATGTACGTAATGATTTTTTTTCTTCAAAAAACAAAATCCAATAAAACCATGGAGAAAGTAAGTTTTACCCCTGCAAAGTGCTGGACACAAGTCAATTGCAGTTTCTGTTTGGCAATGCTTATATTGCATACATAGGAAAAATATCATGTCTGTCAACAATCATATATTTCGGCTGTCATTTTCCCATTTATCATTTAGTAGGTGCATTGCTAACCAATATTGGCCGGCCGATGCTATACAGAAAACTTGAGAATGGTCAAATTGTGTTCTCAAATTCACCAATTGAGCCATACTGGGAGAATGCAAAAGGTATCACCAAGTTTAGGGAATGTAGCTTTTATTTTTGAGAGATTGTCTTCTTTCTATAGTATGTGTGTGCATTTCATTATAACTCTGCACATTGTATTATTTCTTACACAGTGCTTTGTACTCTGCTGAAATTAGAAAAACAGAATTCATTTTTAAGTGCAGTTTAAATAGATGTGGAGAGCCAGTTTGGTTTAATTGTTAAGGTAGCAAACTAGAAACAAGGATACCAGGATTTCTAATCCTACCTTAGGCACAAAGCTAGTTGGGTGACTTCAGGCCAGTCACTCTATCTCAGCCCATGGAAAGAAGGTATAGTATACCACTTTTGAAACCATTGCCAAGAAAACAGGGAGTAGTCAAGGCAATCATCAGTTGCTGACACTGAATCAAAGACATCCTCCCCCCAAAAAGAGAGTTAATTTTATATTTTGAAATATGTAGGTACATACAAAGGTAAACCCCTTAAAATTAGTGGTTCTGAATCATACAACTCATTAGATCATGAAGCTATCATTTATTCTTTCTTTCTTTTTTACAGCTCCACAAAATGTCCACCCACCCACAAGTGTTTCATTCCCCACATCTTTATGGTTGAGTTGGGCTCCTCCAAAAGCACCAAATGGCATAATCACACAATATATTTTATATATGAATTCTCAACAAATTTATACTGGAAATGAAACCAAGCTTATTGTCAAAGGTGAGTTGTAACCGCCTGATATTACATTCACTTAGCTTTGCTTGATTATCCCTTTGGAATTAAACTTCAGATGAGTCAAGTACTGTATGGCACATATTAAGCCACTGTTTTCCCATATTAATTAAGTAAAAAAATGAAGGATTTGCTTTTCTCAGATTTAAAAGCAATTGTCATCTAGCAATCCTTTTTTCCCCATTTGAGCAGTAGATGATTTATACAGACTAACTTAAATATGGTTATATTAATGTGAGAAATTAAGAGATAAGATTATATTTCTCTTTTAGCAGTCATTGAGTGATAAGTACAGATGTGTTAGCAAGACTATAAGTGTTCCTTATGACATATACTTAAGAGGAAACTCAGTGCTCAAGAAAACTTTAAAAGCCTCCCTCCTGCTCCTTCCTCCCATGAGTAGTCTAGTAAAGTAATGGCACAAAATGAAAACAACAACCAGAGAATTTAGAACTAATTGTCCTAGGAAAGGTCATAGTTAACTATGAAAAACCTTGGAAATTAGTACACCATTCTCCACCATTTTATTGCATGCTTTGTGAAGGCCTTTTTTACATTTTCATTATATGTCCAAGTAAGATGATTATTTAAATTGTCAGGGCATGCAGTGGCCATCTAGGGAGTCATCTATGGGGAGAAAGAATGAAAAAGGTGACATGTGCATCATGCCATCACTCAAATGGCAGAATTTATGTACTTCTATCAAGACCATGAGACAACTGATGCACATAATAATTGTGTCATTTGTGTGATGCAACTGTGTATATTAACTTCTTGGTAGCATTATTAAAGCAAATATGCAGAGTATTCATGACTGTTTAAGCAACGTCACCAAACAAAGACAGAGTCCAGAGATTTTTTTAAAATGCATTTAGATATTACAAACTCAACTTGAATTAATGAGTTCACTACTGGATTAGGCAGACAGTGATTCTGGAATTCATTGATATTGCAGCTCAATACTCACTTCACACATGAGCCCGACTGAATTCAATCAGCTTTATTTCAGAGTGGATGTTCATAGCGTTGGCTACCTAGAGTGATTCTGATGTTGTTGGTTGGGTGAATATATGCTTTTCTATGAAATTGTGGGGTATATGATGTGTCAGTCTAATAAAAAAGAACACCCAGCAGTGCAGCTTTCCCAGTCACATATAAGACTGGTAGGTAAGGCACTTATATGTTCTACAACTAACCAATTAATCTCAATTTTCTAACATGATACCTAGGGAGGTAATGAAATAGCTGCCAAATGAAAAAACAAGTTCAAAGAACCCCTACAACTTAACAAAGAACAATATACATATACATGCCAAATGGAGGCCAACCAAATATTCTCTGTATGGTTTCCAATACTTATCATATTCTAATCCCATTCCTTTAAAAACAGCCTTATTACTAGTCCATATTTCTGTTATGCTGTAAAACAATCCACTTTCTCACAACTGTTTTTTTTTTCAAGTTAAGAGCTACTCAAACACATATTTACTTGTGTGTTTCTTTAAAATACTTCAGTTCTTTAAAATGCTTCAGTCAGCTGACTTTAACTGGTTTACAGCAACAAGATAGATAGATGGATGGATGGATGGATAGATAGATAGATAGATAGATAGATAGATAGATAGATAGATAGATAGAT